TGTAGTTCACTTTTAATATAATAAATCTAGGCAAATCATTTGCATAAGTATTCACCCTCACCCATTTTTTTGGGCTATTTCCTTCAACCTACAACATGAAAACACAAGGATTTAAATTATAAATATTTTACCTAATATTTGATGTAATCACTTCAGCATCACATTGACACTGCTGTCCTTTCTTTATTTATGTCTAAGGACACGACACGAGGATCAAGCACAACTACCAGGCAATCGACTGGAATTACGGTACCTGTGGTGGATGCAATGAGCCTCATCCTGAATACGCCGTCTGTGGACGAAGAGAGTGTGACATTTCCCCCAGTGAAATTCACCAGGCGCATCATATGCACGGGGACGAGAAAGCTGAAAGGCAGAGCAGAGGAAGCCACATGCATGCTCAGCCCTACTTCAACATCCCAAAAGGCAAACCTCAAGAATCGCCCAGAAGCGCCAAGGTGTCGTTCATATTTGGCGATCCTCCGCTGGACTCGGTGAACCCCCAAAATCTGGGATACCACAGACTGATGGAAGACATCCCAGAGGTCCTGGAGGAGCATCGGTATTTGTATGCACAACAGAAGGACTACAAACCTCTGGAAGCGTCATTGGAGGTTGACGGTTTCCAATATGGTACCCATATGGTATACGGGGACGCCAAGATCTTCGGTACGACCGAGGGCATTGAGGAGCCTCTGCTGCATGATATCTGCTACGCCGAAACTACAGATGATGCAGAAGATGATGATGACATTAGTTGTGAGGAGGACATGATGATGATGATGGGAGAGATGAAGGACAAAGCGAACTCTCTGTTGTCACTTTCAGAATCAAGTGATGATATTATTGACCTTACTTCGCTGCCACCACCGCCTGAAGGGGACTACGAGGAGGACAGTGACGATCTGTTGGAGTCACTAAATTTGGCAATTGCCGCTCCACCACCAGGATTCAGAGATAGCTCGGATGAAGATGACCACCATGATAGAAAAATGGCGAAAAACGACATCCCTGTGTCGCTGATCGATTCCGTGCCGACGCAGGTTGCTGGTGGGAGCGAGGAAGTGTTTAATGATGCCGTTGTCTCAACACTTCAAGCACTAGAGGCCCTGGCGGCCTCAGAGGATCAGTCTCATCCACAATCAGACAATAGTTCAGGTTCTTACACTATTGTAACGTTTATTCATTGACGTTGTACAACCTTCCAGCCATTCTTTCATTTTTGCTTCAGTTTGGTTTCTCCGTACTTCATTCACTGTCTTCAATGCAAGCCCCCGTGTATTGTGTGTGTTGCTTTTTTTGTTAGTAATGTAAATGTATGCTCACTATAATTTGTGGTTCATTTTTTTTGGTTCATGTATTTCATTATTTATGTTCTTATTTGTTGCATTTCATAGCCTTCGATGTTTTTGTACAAATAAACTATTTTAAAGTACATGTGCGTGTATAGTGTGATGGCTAAAATGTTTGTCTCTTTGTGGCACACAGGTGTAGAAATATCTCGGTCCTTTAGCCCCGAGTCCTCTTCTGATTCTGGGAACGAGACAAATTCATCTGAAATGACGGAGAGTTCAGAGCTGGCCGCAGCTCAGAAACTCTCCGAAAACTCTCTGAAAATGTTTGTAGCCACAGCAGAGGGGTACCAAACTCTAGCTGAGGAGGAGACTGAATTCCGCTTGGCACCATCTCTAGATGATCCCCAGTCCTCTGCGGTCGCCAATCTCCGCTCAGACCACTTTGAGATGGAACCGGAAACAATGGAGACCAAGTCATTGACGGAGTACTTTAGCAAAATGCACAGGGATGTGATGAGGGGAATGGCACAGGGGAAGGTTGAGGAGCAGGACAGCGGGATGAAATCCAGTGCAGAAGCAGCAGCCCGACAGTTGAATATTGCAGAATCTGAAGATCTGGTTGGGATGTACAGCAACTTCAATGGGCGGGATTCCCAGTGTTCGGCTCCCTTTGACATGGAAAGTATGTCTTATGCCTTTCAGGGAAGCAATCAAAGATTGCATATGATTCTGAATAATAAATCTGAAGAGCACATTTACTCTGAGGTGGCTGGAGACAGCGCTCCATTACATGCAGACAGGGTTGCTCAAAAGGTCAGTTTGGAGGACTCGATAGACTTGAATGCAAGTTCCCCCGCCAAAGAGCAGTATCTGGTCGAGCGAGCCCGGAGTGAACACCAACAAAGCAAGGGAGCTTCATCTGAACAAGAAGTGACCCGTTTGTACGAGTACCACTTGTCCAAAAGGATGTCATCTTTACAGAGCGAGGGTGTTCATTCCCTCCAGAGTTCCCAGTGTTCGTCCATTGATGCCGGCTGCAGTACGGGAAGCAGTAACTGCGTTACACCAATGGACTCTCCTCTGTGCACAGTAGATAGTGTCCATCTGCATACCGAGTCCTCTATGAAAGGTCTTGGATATACAAATCAGAATGTAGATGGAACTTTTTTGCGGAAGCACCACGGACAGGCTGGCGCAGAGTCAGGTCGAGAGGGAAGCCAAAGGTTGCCCAAGATCAGAGAAACTACAGGTACTGCAGGCTTGCATTTAAATTTACATGCATGCATTTAGAGGATGCATTATCCAGAGTGCACACATCAGTCATTGCTTTGCATGGATAACCCATGACCTTGGGGTTGTAAGAAATGTTCTCTACTGGTTGCATTTTAGCAATTTGTTAGACCGCTTGTGTTTTGGAAAATTTAAGGCAAGATTTCATTATTCTTATGTCAAAATTAACTTTCTGTTCATCTTTGTTTCATAATGGCAGAGACCTAAACAGTCCTAAAGTAGCTTCTAATATAATGCTTGAAAAAGAGTTTCTAATGTGCACGTTTAAGGGTGTTTGTAGCTCTTGATTTAAGTCATGACTTGAAGCTTACTTGATTTGACTGATTGCCCAACATCAAGTTGGGGAAACTACATGTAAGCTTCTCAGATATTACCTAAAAGTATTGCCATCTTCTTTTTCTTAAACATGGTATCACAGGTATTTATTTTGGGTTTAATTTCCACCGATCCTCTAAACCAGTGGTCACCAAACTTGTTCCTGGAGGGCCGGTGTCCTGCAGATTTTAGCTCCAACCCTAATCAAAAACACCTGAACAAGCTAATCAAGCTCTTACTAGGTATATTTGAAACAATCAGGCAGGTGTGTTTAGGCAAGTTGGAGCTAAACCCTGCAGGGACACCGGCCCTCCAGGACCGAGATTGGTGACCCCTGCTCTAAACAATCCTTAAATTTGAGTTCAACTTTGTTTTTCGTTGCACTTGTTGAGCAATTATTCATAAAGTATTGAATACACATTGACAAATCCAAGGCAGATGTGGGGATTTATTTTACACTGATCTGCATGTGAAACCTCATTTTTATGTATGAGATATTACATCTATTAAACAATAATTTGCATAAGTGTTCACCCCCATCACTCAGTAGATTCATAATTGGCAGCAGTTCCAGCAATTAGTCCATGTGATATAGTTTACAATTAACTGAACACATCTGGACACTGTCTGGTATTTTCATACCAGTCATGGTTTGCATGTTAAAGAAAATCAATTGCATAAGTATTCACCCCCCAGCATATGTCAGTAATTACTAAAATTCCCCTTTGGTGGCAGTTCCATTAACTCCCATCTGGTCACAGATGTTTTTCGCCCAGTTTATTTTTATAGAAAAGCTCAGGCCCGGTCGGGTTGCATGAAGACCATGGAATGTAGCATCATATTGGATCAAGGTCTGGACTCGTAAACACTTCTGCACATACTGTACAGTAATTTGTTGTTTTCAAATATTTCTCGGGTGTCACGGTGGTGCAGTGGGTAACACAATTGCCTTACAGGAAGAAGGTCGCGAAGTTCATGTGTCCGTCACTGGGCTTTTTGCCTTTAGCAAAAAAAACTTTCCAGAGACGTCTGTTTCTTACTCATTTTGCTGCCTGTGGGTTAAATTTGGTTGCTTAAGCGACCGAGACTTAAATGAGAGAATACAGTCATTTAAATTTAAAAAAAAAGTATTTTTTGTTTTTTATAAAAGATCGTTCAGACAGTAGAGATGATGTATTTCTTATGATGTATAATTGAAGTCAAATTTATTCACCCTCTTGTGAATTTTCTTATCTTTTTCAAATATTTCCTAAATGATGTTGAACAGATTCAGAAATGTTTCACAGTATTTCCTATACTATAATATTTTTTCTTCTGGAGAAAGTCTTATGTTTTATTTCGACCAGAATAAAAGCAGTTTTTAATTGTTTTAAACCTATTTTAAGGTCAGTATTATTAGCCCCCTTTAAGCAATATTAGTGTTGGACTGTCTCCAGAACAAACCACTGTTATACCATGACTTGACTAATTACCCTAACTTTACCCTAATTAACCTAGTTACGCCTTTAAATGTCGCTTTAAGCGGAATACTGGTGTCTTGCAGAATATCCAGTCAAATATTACGTGCTGTCATGACAAAGAGAAAAGACATCTGTTATTAGAGATGAGCAGAGGTGGGTAGAGTATCCAAAATCTATACTCAAGTAAAAGTTCAAGTACTTGTGGAAATTTTTACTTAAGTAAAAGTAACAATCTTAAAAGTTACTCGAGTGAGTACAACAGTATCTGATGAAAAAATCACTCATGTAAATAGTTATTTACAGTTGAAAGTTATTCGCCCTCTTGTGAATTTCTTTTTTAAATATTTCACAAATGACTAACAGATTCAGGAATTTTTCACAGTATTTCCTATAATTAGTTTTTTTCTGGTGCAATTCTTGTTTTATATTAGCTAAAATAAAAGCAGTTTTTAATGTTAAAAACTTAATCAATATCGTTAATCATTATTATTAGCCCCCTTAAGCAATATTTTTTAATTGTCTACAGACCAAAACATTGGTAATGATTTGCCTTTTACCCTAACTAACGAATACTAGGGTATTGAAAAATATGTAGTCAAATATTATGTACTGTTATCATGGCAAATATATGTGTTGTGTTGATAAAAGCTTCCTTCTGTTAAAGAGAAATTAGGTAAAATAATTTCCTTGGGGGGCTAATAATACTGTGTATATATATATATATGCATGTGTTCATTAAGTAAAACAATTATGTTTAAATGCTATATTTTTAATGGTTAACAGTGGGCGAAGCAGTGGCGCAGTAGGTAGTGCTGTCGCCTCACAGCAAGAAGGTCGCTGGTTCGATCCTCGGGTCAGTTGGGGTTTCTGTGTGGAGTTTGCATGTTCTCCCTGCGTTCGCGTGGGTTTCCTCCGGGTGCTCCGGTTTCCCCCACAGTCCAAACACATGCGGTAAAGGTGAATAGGGTAGGGTAAATTGTCTGTAGTGTATGAGTGTGTGTGAATGTTAGTGTTAGAGTTAGATGTTAGAGTTTCCCAGAGATGGGTTGCAGCTGGAAGGGCATCCGCTGTGTAAAAATGTGCTTGATAAGTTGGTGGTTCATTCCCCTGTGGTGACCACAAATTAATAAAGCAACTAAGCTGACAAGAAAATGAATGAATGAATGAATTAATGGTTAACAGTGTGTATGACTTGTATGTGCAGTGCTAATCCGTTATTCCAGCCTGATCTTATAAGGAAACGTAAGTATTTGACGTTTTGTCAGTTTAGTGGAGTTCAGTTGTACGAAAATGTACGATTTTAAAAAGCAGGCGTGTCATCCAACCCCACCCCTAACCCCAACTATCATTGTGTGATGAACAAATCGTACTATATTGTACGAATTAGATCGTACAAATTCATCCGAATTAGCCACTAAATCAAAAAGTTACGAATTGCCGTGAGATTGCGTTGTTTATTCCATTAAACACCAGTTATCCATTATTTAGTTATCCATTACTTTAGTTACCATTAAAGAGGTTAAAATTGGGATAATATTGAAACTTACCACTACGTGTTTTTTTCCGGTCGGAGCTGTAACATGCTACATGTTGCGGTGTCAGTCTGACGTACATTGCATTATCAAACAATTCTCTTGACATCTTGGAGTGAAAACAAAGACTTAAGACCTGGTCCGATAAACTCAGTGCACAGACAAAGTGACCGTCCTTCTCAGAACCGCAGATGGAGACATGGCATGACACAGTACTCGCACGTCTTCCTCGACTTCAGCCATCACTCCAACATAAGCGCACAAGATGCATCTCTAAAAGCAACCTCTCGCGACACAACCTCTCCATTGCGGCGCCTCGCAATATTTAAAACAGGTCATGTGAATCATATTTATTATCATTTGACAGTAATGGAGGAACGATTACGTAAGAGTAATAATTTTTCTCTAATAATTTACTTGAGTAAGAGTAAAAGCACACATATTTAAATGTACTCAAAGTACACGCTACACAACAATTTTACTTAAGTAAATGTAACAAACAGGGCTTTACATTAACACCCGCCAACCCGCCAAATGCGGGTAGATTTCGGCGGTGGCGGGTAAGACAGACACTCCCACTAGCCACTTTGGCTGGTTGAAAATAATTTTCCCACATAATAATTATTAAAAGCAGGGTTCGACAATAAGGATGGTCCAATATGCATGCACATACGATCGAGAAGCAACACGACTGACAAAAATAACTGCGTTCGCAACCGCGCGAGCAAAGCAGGTGAATACCGAATGAGAGGATATTCACTCACGCTAACAGCTGACTGTTTATAACGCGTGCGCGCTCCCGATTCCTTTTGTGAAGCAACTGTTTCTAGAAGCACAACTGATGCGATCGATTCTCTTTCAAATAGGCTGAACTAAAAGGGAGGAACATGCACCCACAGTCTTGCTGCTTTCAAGAGTTCCAGAGTTGACTGATTGTAAGCAGCACCTTGCTTTCGGTTTAACCATTCTTTGAAAAGATAGTTTATGGGTCTATCATTACCCATGCGTGTGTGATCATCCTTTCATTATCACACAGTATGTTTTACCTGCTTTCTTTTGCATTAATATGGCTTAATTATCTTTTTTTACAATAGCATTGCTTTAATGGGAGAATAACTCCCCATTTACGTGTAGTTACCTGGTGATCTAGGACCTTTAGCCAGGACACATGACTGTGCATATGTTTTTTTTAAATAAAAAGTATAGTATTCTGCTATATTTTGCATGTTTTCACATGAAAAAATATTTTCCCAACATTAAAATTGTGGCTAGTGAAAATGGCGAGTGAATGTTGGAAAATTACTAGCCACAGTGGCTGGTGGTCAAAAAAGCTAATGATAAGCCCTGGTAACAAGGTAATTGTAATTCGTTTCTACCCACCTCTGGAAATGAGTTAATTAAACTATTATCTAGTAGCTCTCTAACAGTAATTTGTCTGTTGGTCTCTCTCGGCTGTTTTTCGAGGGCGTCCTGCTCTTGGTGTATTTATTGCTGTGTCATATTTTTCCATTTCTTAATTATTGATTGATCCGCTGCTCCAAGGGAAGCTCAATGACATGGAAATCCTCCTCTGCTGGTGCTTTTCAATTACTTTTTCGTGTAGCTGCTTGGAGGGTTTTTATTTTTTCTTTCTTCATGGTCTTTTACTGTGC